TCTTGGCTCCCTCATACAGCCCTTGAAGGAACCCCAGTCCGTTTCCTGACACCTCTTGGGGGGCAGCTTCTTGCCAATATGCTCGCCAGGTGTGGCCCCGGCGACTTTGCCAACGTCTGCGCTTGGTGTAGGGCTCCCGGAATCTCCGCGGTTTCGTTAGATGCCATGATGCGACAAACCACTGTTGAAGATGTTGCCAGCCTGAGGGGGAAGGGCAGTAGGATCCCTGAATGCAAGAAGACCTTGCGGGCGGCTGCATGGCAACACATGAGGCGGAGAGACTCGCATCCTTCCGCCGGGCGCTTGGTAGCAGCCGTTGGACGGGGCTTGCTAGGCAGTCCATGTTGCAGTCTCAGGTTCGATCTGCGGGAGAATTTCGTGTGAGGACCTCAGTTAGGCATGGCAGAGGAAGAAAGAACTGGCCAGGCAGTCGCATGCACATCCTAAATGCCCACATCCCGTCTTCGACGCTCAGGTGTGAAGATGCTGGCTTCGAGTGCACAAGGGTGCCGTGCTCAGAAACAGGGTGCCGCTGGTAGATATTGTGCTTTAGCTTTTCCGGCTCATCTATGCGTCCCTGCTGCTGTCCCTGAGCAGGACTCAGAGAGTGACTCTGGAGGACGGCCACACGTACATCTTTGGGTTTTGAGATTCAACTTCAAAAGGCTTGAGGGCTCTCTGTGTTTTGCTTTTCACGCTGCCTCCGATGCACTATCGGCATCGTCCGACGTTCCCTGTTGCATAGAGCGGAGGGTGTTGCTTCTCGAAAAGTTTTCCTGGATGCTCTCTTAACTTAGAAAAGATGTGTGCGGGTCTGGAACAAGGGCTACGGGGATGAGTGTAGAAGTTTTCGGGCATAGTACGGCAGTCAAGGAACCTCCAGCTTGATTACGGCCTCCTGTGTGCCCTTGTGGAAGGGATCTTGCGGGGATACGCTGGAGAAGCATAAAGGTACACCCCAAGCACCAACCCAAGTCCTGGTGGACAGTGCTTCAGACACCACAAAGGCCCTCAAAACAAATCTCCGAAGCCATGAGCCAACAGTGGCAAACGCTAGTGCAGCTTCCTCATTTCTGGATCTCGTTCGGTTGTGTTGTCATGGCACTGCACCTTGGGCGTGCAGGAGAGGACGACCTCTGTACCAACGTAGCTGCCTCGATTGAGTTCCAGGGGATCTTGTGCATCAATCTCTGCCTGAAGTCCCTTTCTCCGGGAGAGCCGGAGCTCTGAGACTCCGAGGTGTGCACCTGGTGCCAGCAGACTCGCTACCTGCCCTTCGATCTTGGGGAGGGCTTCGTTTGCAGCTCGCCCGTGATAGGGACTAGGTGGCCCTCTAGAGACAGAGCCCTGCAAGACCTGGCAAGCAGCTCCGATGATACAGGTCGCGATGTAGGTCTCGACTGCGATGCCCGGGTTGGCAACTTCGAGGCCTGAGACATATCCCTTCAAGCATGGAAGTCGATGGCAAGCTGGAGCCAAGAGTTCTTCGGCAGATCTGCAGGGCGAGCACGAGATGTTCGTCAACATCTGCGCCGACTGCGGTGCCGAGCGTGCTGGGCTTAAGCTGAGGGGTCAAAGAAGAGATCGACCCCAGGGCCCCCAGTTCCAGACAGACTACCCGCCACCCTCTCCACGGATTAGTTCTTCGACTGCGCAAAACTTCGGGAAGCTGCCAAAGCCCGTTGCACTATCTCTCTGCAAGACTGACGTGCACTTCCCTACTTGTGCCAGTGATGGGATCTCAACGTTGTTGCATCGATCGTTTGAGGTACTTTGAGGTCTTTGTCTTATTCCTTCAGGTCCAAGGAGTGTTTATTGTGCTGGTAGTCATGTTACTGAGGAGAGTTGCCCTTCGACCTCAGCGCGAACTTCGTCTGCGGCCGGCTCAACTGTAGGGCCTGCCTTCGAGTCTGGCGTGACTGCCTTCGAGTCTGGCGTGAGCGTGTGCATCTGCATGCATGAGTCCCTGTTCTGAGCAATTGTTTCAAGATTACCGTGCTTGATATCGGGATCATGTCTTGCCCGGGAGCTATGGCCGTCGAGCTGCCTCGGTCGCCCCTTCCACCGAGGTGGTGACGCAGGTTTCGAGTGCCGCACCGACATGCTGCACGAAAATGCTCGCATCTCAAAAGCAGGCATTCTCTGGCAGTTGCGTCGACATCTTGCGACCGTGTGAAGTTCAGTTCAGTTCCTCCCAGAAGCTTGCCCAGCAACACCCCCTTGAGATGAGGTGTGCGTGCAGTGTGGGCAGACGAGGCCGGAAGCCTGCAATGATACCTCCAAAGAAGCAGAAGTGCAGCCCAAGCCCTCAAGCGTGCAGCCCTAACCCTTGGTGCCGAGAACCTAAACCCTGAAGGCCCTAACCCACATTGCAAGTTCTGAGCAGCGCTGAGGATGTGCCCGTTTCAACTTCCAGACTTCGTCTGTGCCAGCTGCGGTGGCACTGCGCCGAGGAGGCAAAGCCTGATCCTCATGCGAAGCCCTCTGATGGCCTGATGATGGCAATCAGGGCAACAAGCCTCCCTGACCGATAATATGCTCCGAAAGAGAGACATACCGAAAACAAGCTCCAGTCCAGAAGGTTACGGTTCATTCATGTCTTGTTTTTTTTTTAAGGTTCAATGTGCAAAGGACCATGGACCATGGGTTAAAGGTTCAGATGCCAGTACGGAACCCCCAAAGCCCAGGCCCTCAACCCTCCTTGGCACTTGGACTCAAAATCTCAGCCCCTGGACCCAAAGAAAATGCGAACCCCCAAAAACGCTTCAAAGGCGCCCCCAGACTCCAGAGCTCCAAACTCTCGGGTATTTTATTATGATTACTACTACTATTATTATTATTATTCTTCTTCTTCTTCTTCTTAATATTGTTAATTATTATTATTATCATCATTATTCTTAATAGTGTTATTGGTATTAGTACGATTATTAGTATTATTGTTACTATTATTCGCATCCCTGTGCGCAAGGTTCGAGGAAGTTGCGCTTCCGGAGGCCGTCCTTCGAAGAAAGCGCTCAGGGTTTTGAGAGTTCGGAGCTGCCATGCTTGTTGGGGCTTCAGGGGCTTCGGGGTTTGGCGTTGTGTGGCTTCTCTGGGCTTTTCAGTTTTTTATTTTTTTGTGTTTCGGTGCCTTTTGGGCTTTGGGGGTTGTCTGTGTTCGGTGGTACCAGGATTCTTACAGATGGTCAGGGGATGGTTCGGGTTTCAGAGTTTCTGGATCTTGAGTTTTTGGGGTTGAGTGTTGAGGATGTTCGTGGCTTGGGGTGTAGGGCTTCTATGGGTGTCGGGTCTCAGGCTTTAGGGTGTGGCCGGATTTGGGCAATCGCGGCTCAGGGTGGGTTTGGAGGCGTGTCTACGGCCCAGCCCCTAGACGAATCCAAGGCGAGTTGGTTTAACCCCCGAACCCTAAAGCCTCACCCGGGCCATTCAATCGGGAACCTTCTCCGGGAACATGGCCTCGGTTTAGGGTTTGGGTTTAAGGGTGTGTAAGGGGTTTAGGATTAGAATACATTAGGATGTTCCCAACTAACATCCCGACTTGGCCCCCCTCTTCTGGGCACAATCCCGGCACGATCACGGCACGGTGACCAGCCATCCCTGACACATGTAGACCTCACCCAACCCCACATTCCCGAATTGAAGATTGCGAAGGCGCCTTCGGAGGACGAGCCGGACGACGGCCTCACCGACGAGCAGCGGCTGGTGCGGGTCTCTGCGAGGAGCTGTTCTCGTCTGGCGTGAGAGCGCGTGTTCAACAGAACCGTATGGAGTACCATCGTTCTGAATAGTAAGGCCACCTTGTTCTTTGGAGGTTTAGGATTTGGCGAGGTGTGGGTATCGATATAAATGTCGAGGCGTATGGATCTCAGTCGAAGCACGGCTTGTTGAGAGAGCCAGAGCAGGCTCTTGTCTAGAGGCGGGGTTGTGCAGTGATCTGTCGATATCTGTCGCTTAATGGCGGACGTTCCAGATGCAGAAGAGGTTCCGGTTTTCAAGGCCTTAGTCTTAGTGGCATGGACTGTTCAGTGATTCAGGAATTCGGTTTTGGCTAGGATTTCCTTGCTGGGATGCCTGCAGCACTTGCGCGTGTGTTCGCGCGTGCTCAAAGCCTCGTCGTCTTCAGGTGCGAGAAGCTTTTTAGCATGAGCAGCAGCACCGACATGAAACTGGGGCAGCCCGAGTCCTTACCTCTTAGATGCAAACTACAGCTTACGCTGCTCCCGTCGGAGAGAGCTCGAAGCTTTAGGATATCTCCAGGCCTTCTGAGTCCTTGGGCCATGCCCTCCGCCTCCCATGCGCTCGCGCTGCCCGGGGATGGAAAGCCGAAGACGGAGTTTCAGAGACATGCCGCGGCCTCAGGTTCAGAAACTGAAAGCTCTGACTACTGATTACTACTCATGAACCATAACCGTCCCCTCTCCTCCTGCTGCTCGTCGCAGCCCGACAAGCTGAAGAAGAAGAAGTTGACTGGTAATGGAGCCTGATTGTCACCGGAATCGCGCGTGCCACGTCTACCAGCCCTGGCATCTGCCACTTGCCTGGAGCTGAAGTGAAAACGGCACGAGACCGACGGGGACCGAAGTGCTTACAACCCGACTGGACCCTTTCGTGTCCTACTCGGGCCTGACGCTTCGGAGCAAGAGACTCCACGCATTCGGATCAAGTGAGTGTTGGGATGAAGAATTGAGACTTGTTCTAAACCCCCGCCTCTTGACCGTAGACTATAGACTAGCAGCGCACTTTAATATTTTGATGCAGGTTTAGGACCTGCTCCAAAACCAGCACGGTGCAAATGCGCGCAAGGGCGAGCGCAAGGGCGAGCGCAAGGGCGAGCGCAAGGGCGATAAAGTGGTGTGAGAAGGTTTATCAAGGCTTCAAGGTGGGAATGTGTGTGTGCAACCGTGTGTTAGCAAAAGCGCGCAAAGGCGAAGCGCAAGGCGATTTTCGAGTTACGGCTGCAACCATAATAAAGAACAACCCCCAATTGGGGCCGTTGCTAGGCGAAAAAACTCCTGGACAAGCACTGCAAGATCGACGTCAATGACGAGTGGCAGCCTGTAGATGCAGCTTGGACGAGACGGAGGTTTCAAGATTTCTCTTTCAGAGGAGCCCTCTCAGCAGGCTGCAGAGCTCTCGTAACCTACCCGTCTTTCACATCCCTACCGAAGTGGGGTGCTGAGGACCAGAAGATTGCACAACTGCGTGGCATTCTCTCCGCGCTGCACGAGGCTGGGCGCCTTCATGGTCTCAGGCCCTGCATGATGCATCCACTCCCTGCAGGAGAACCAGTCCACTCAGCTCCTGAGGGTCGAGAGCGAGGCGCGCCAACGGCAGATTTTGCCTTTGGAGCAAGCTTTGATTTCCGGCTTGGGTTGAACAGGCGGTGCGTTCCGGTCGAATCCAGACAAAGTCTCTCTACAGTAATCAGAATCCCAGACCCCCATCCGAATCCGACGCGCAAAGCTCGAAAAACCCGCAACCACAAGAACACCACCTCAGCGAGGACCGTGAGGCGCAACTTGCGCTCAAGGCCGGAGCGTCGTGCGTCGTTGCAAACGTTTACTACGACCACGATCACAATCACCAGCACTACCAGGACCACTACTATCGCTATCATCCCCGTCTTCATCAGCAACAACACACCCTCCTTCTCCTGCTACTCCTGCTCCTTTTGCTCCTCCTCCTCCTCCTCTTGCTCCTCCTGCTCCTCCTCCTCACCATCATTGCATCAGTCTTCTTATTCTTCATCACCTTCATCACCATCGTCTTCTTCATCGTCATCTTCATCTTCATCTTGGCCTTCATCGCCATCATCATCATCATCACCACCACCACCGTCACCGTCATCGTCATCGTCATCGTCATCATCATCGTCATCATCATCATGAACATCATCATCGTCGTGGTCGTCATCATGATCATCATCATCATCATCATCAACCTCTCTAACATCATCAACGTCATCATCAACATCACCATCCTCACTTTCATCACCATCACCGCCGTCGTCGTCGTCGTCCTCCTCCTCCTCCTCCTCCTCCTCATCATCTTGTCGCCATTGCCGTCATATTCAGCATCGTTGTCGCCTTCGTTGTCTTCGTCATCACGTCATCGTCATCATCTTCACCATCACGGTAATGTTCTTCTGCGACAGCTGCTGCTGATGGTGGTGACACTCCTGGTGATGGCCGCGAGGTTCATCTCGCATTCATAATAACGCAGTCTTCCTAACAGCATTTTGGAATTCCCAAACCTTAGCCCAATGGTGTTAAGCAATGGTGTTAAGATGTTTAGGGCTGGGAGTTAAATGAGTTTATAGGTCTCTGGAGTCACCCTTCGCTTCGAACTACGTCGAGGCCACGCGGAAAAGCGTTGAGACGCGGCTGGCCTTCTGCAAGGCACACCTCCGGGTCGTGGCGCGTCCACTTAACTTGCTGTTTGCACACTTTTGCAAGGGTTCCTTGTTAAAGCTCCCCGTTTCAACTTACAGAATGTTTCTTCATCAATGGGCTTAAGAGTCTTTCGGTGAAATCCGAATCACAGGAGAAGGAGATGATGTTCATGAAGAAGCAGGAGGAGTTGAGACGCCATGTCTTGGATAACCAGATGCTTGGCTCGATTACACAAGTGACTGGGTGTCCTGAGGAAGCATTGAAGCTCTGTTGCCACTTCAAGAACAAAGCGCCCCCCCAGTCCCGATCGAAGATTCCTTCTTGGAGTTGCCATCGAAAGCTGCGTGCAAGAAACAGGCCCGTAAAGGACGCCCTGAACAGAGCGTGATAGAGATGGCCGGCCACGAGGAAGTCCTTGCAGGATCTCGAGGCACAGATCGAAAAGAGCCCGGGCCTAAGGATTTTTGCAGATCCGCTCTCGAAGGTTTTCTGCCGGTGGTGATGGTCCCAGTAGCGGTCGCAGCACCAGGAATTGAATAGCACACGTCGCGTGGGCTGCAGTGTATTTCGGGTTGCCGCGACTTTAGAACACCCATCGAAATGCTGCAAACCGTACAACTTCTACCCAGACATGCGAGCAAATGCTCACTGCGACCGCCGTCGGGGCCGGAATGCAATCCAAACCCCCCAAGCCTGCAAACCCTGATGAAACCCTTCGAGAACCCTTGTAACACCCTTCAAGATCATGCATCTGCCACTTAACGCACCCTCAAAAGAAACCGATGTAGAATCAGAGCAGATAGAAAAAAGCCTTAAAGACTTAAAGAGCCCTTCCTGGAGGCCTGGTAGAAGCCTTTGTGCAGAACCCTTAGGGAAACCCTAAACCCTTAACCCATCTTCTCGGGATGCGCATGACTTAGGCTTCTCTGTGTGTGCTGCATGTCGCTCGCCATTGACCGCCAGTAAAGGTCTGTTGTTGTTGTTGTTAGGTGGTGAATCCCCTCTCCTCGGCCCCTCGTAAGCTGCCTCCGCCTGATGGGCATCCTGAAACCTAGTGCTAGCGGAAAGGGGCGACCAAAAATAACCCTAAACCCTACCTACCCAGAGAGCCCAATACCCCTTAATTAAGGAATACACCTTAAATCATAGGGGCCTTAATATTATGAGTT